TATATATATATATATATATATATATACACATATATACATATATTAAAAAAAGCAACAAACAGAGGTAGAAGTGAGTGTGCTTTTTCACCTCGAATAAGCAACAAAGAAATAAATCCAAGTTGTAAACACGTCATGCTTTAGATTGGAAACAAAGTAGATGTAAAAAGTTAAATGATGTTGAACGGATGGATACAGAGGAGAGATCACAATATGATGAGGAAGGAAGCAATGGATTTCTGTGTTATAGAGTGAATGCTGAGGCTGAGATGGAAAAATAAAAGGACGAAGAGAGGATGAACGATGAGAAGAAGGGAGGGTGATAGTTGTAGTATAGTAATGAATTGCTTGCTCAACTCCAATTCCTCCTCTTGCACCTACTGCAGATCTGAAGAAGTTGGATGAGTATCACCAATATGGCAGAGTCTTTTGGACTAAACCCCATATTGATTAACCCACCCAGAACTGCTTTTTAGATCTGTGAGACAAGTAGGAACAAGGGGTCGAAAAGGAATCGGGCCACTGTGTCATGTTGGTCCTCCCAGCAGTCTTACCTCGTATGGGCGTGCCACCTGAGTGGGCAATGAATGCACGAGATTAGAGAAGGAGAAGAAGAAGAAAATGTTAGTACCACAGAAGGAGCAGGGGATAAGGGAGGGAGGAAACTTGGGGGTGGGGGGTCAGGGAAAAGATAACTTGAAGAGGAGAAGAATCAAATTAGAGAGAAAGTCTCAAAATATAGATCTTGAAAGAGTGAGAAGAAGAGGAGGCATAAAAGAAAAAGACAGAGTAAATAAAGACAGAATAAGCCTGAGAAGAGAAAAAAAAACAGATCCTAGATAGAGTGACAGACAGTGACAGAGCTATAAGGAGATGGGTTATTGATTTGACTTCATTGACTTGCAGCAGAGGCAGATGTAGCTGTAGGAGTGGGGTAGTGTCTGCTCTGCTCTCATCTGGGTGTCTAAGAGGTGGACTCTAAGTACATCAACTGAGCTGAGTTTTACACTAGTCTTGTCCTTGAAATGGCTTAAACCCAAGACTAATCCTGCTAGTTGCATAAAGTCTAGATATAATATTATAGGTAAATATTAAATCTATTCTTCAAGGAAAAAAATCCACTCGTCAATACTTTTAAAAAACAGGCACTCTCCAACATTTGCATTGTATTATCCCCCCTGATTATATGTTTTGAAATCTCCCTCATAATGGGCAATAGTTAGACAATATGACATCAGGCCCTTTTTTAATGACACAAGCACTTCCTATTTTGCAAAGTGCACACAGGCTGGCTGAAGTGGAATAGAAATAGGAGGTTGTGTTGTGATTAATAAATTCACTCTTAGCCAGTCACATCTAGGTCTTGTCGCTCTGAAACATCTGTGCCAATTATATTGACGCATGATGACAACAGCTCAAAAAGACGGCAAGAGGCTTGTCTGGGAAATGTGATTATTGTGTGGATGGTGCAGAATGGCACATCCTGAACATATAACACATCAAATCTGCAGCAAAAGGCAGATGGTGTGGTATTTTTACTTAACTTGAACAATAATAATAGAAACAAACAATAAAAATGCTAATTAATCCATTTATGTGGCTCCATCAATCCAAGCTATTGCAGTTTTATTTCCACAATAGCTCACGCCATTACTGGTTACGTCACGCTGTTAAATGTGACACAACATTTAATGGGATTCAAGGATAAAACATGAAATGTTACTTCCACTAAAAAGATAGTTTGAAAAGACATACTGTGCAAATTGGTGGATATGTACAGCTTGCACACAAGAAATCAGTTTTTTTTAAATGCACACATTTCTAGCATTGCTCTATCACTGATCTATTTTGTTTGCTCTTATTGATGAAATCAAAACAGTGTGGTTCCATGAAAACTTCTCAGCGCAAACTCAAAAATTATCAAACCATTGGGGTGCTTGTTGCTGCACTGGCACAAAAAAAGGCCCCATCAAGTCAAAGTGCTTTCAGCTGAGTCTGACAGCAGAGAAATTTTCAACTACAACATCTAAAACTTCAGCTGTAAATGTCAAGTTGATGTCTCAGGCCGTTAGAATCAAAGAGCAAGAGGGTATTTGTGGATTCCAAATCTTAAAGCAAACATCAAAATTCAAAGAGAGAGCAGTCCATTGTTAAAGACACTAAAGTCTGCCTCATGGCAGTCGAGCACAACACAGAATATGATGCAGCCACAAGAACTGTGCTGCCTTTTAAAATATGTGCAACTAGCGTTCTGCAACACAAAAATTACAAAATCTTTACAATTAACACTGGGAATAACGATGCCATTTGAAAAGGACAACGCAATACTGAAAAACATGAGTGAAACAAAAGCTAAGCAAGTCTAAGCAAAATATTAGTATGTCAGAGGATAGCGTCGCAATTTACCAGAAACCAGTGTGCCTTAAAATTGCTTGCATTGTCCTACAAATTGTTCAAAATAGAGAGAAGCAGGAAATACTCCCATTTAAGACACTGGAATCTATGATTATTTGGCATTTTTCCTTTAAAAATATCTAAATGATTAACTCATAAAACAAAAATAGGTCATGACTCACTTCTGTCATCTCACTAATTGAGGCTCTAAAACTCTAAAGAAGTCTAGCTTTGTCTCTAAGCTTAAGTGATCGCACGCTAGGTTTGTACTTGTATAGGTTAGGCATATTCAAGTGGTAAGTGACTGCAGCTAAACAAGTGCAAACGACAGCAGTTTATTGCAAAATTACCCTGTATTTATTACAAAAGACTGGGCTGCAGTGTAAAAGTACTGAAAAGTGGATTTTAAAAGGACTAAACCTGGCTAAGATTTAATATACTGATCTAAAAAACTGCACCCAACATCTACTGTGCAGCGACCCGGTTCAGTATATAGAGTACATACTACACTGTAGAGTCAGTGTCTAGAAACCTGGCCGCCATTGATTTCCCAACTCCGGCTCCACTAGAGGCAAACCTAACAGCTATCTGGAGCTGACGGCTGATGGCTTATTGACTGGTAACTCTATACAGCAGAGTGGGGAGAGTAAGTGGGTGAGTGAATGACAGAGTGAGTGAGTGAGGGGAAGAATAATTGAGTAAGTGAAAGAGTGGAAAAGTAAATAGGTGAGTGTGAGGAGAAAGTTATAATTCTTTGGGTGTGGAAAGGTTGCAGGTGCACAGGTGAGGGTGAGGCCAGCTACGTTTACGGTGACAGAGGTATGTGTTTGTACATGTGTTATTCATATCCATGTGTCTTTATGCTGTATGTGTCTTTAACCAGAACAATATGAATGTGTGCCTGCAGTGTGTATACCTCAGTGCCTCGTGTGTGACAGTTAGTAAAATGCGTGCCATGCACTCTAAAAACACCGCAGTATTTGTAAAGGTGAGCAGTAGCAGCAACAGTAGCAACATTAGTGAACAGTATATAGAGAAGTGGACAGTGAGGGTGTGGGCCTTGGAACAGAAGCACTTACCAAAGGACTCTGTGGTTAAAAAGATACAAAGAGAAAAGAAACAGCATAGACATGGCATTACAATCGGACCATTGGTTACACAGAGGAGTCGACTTAGTAGAAACACCTTGAAAAAGTGCTGGAACTCCATAGAAACAATAAAAAAAGTCATGATATTGAGTATCTACACAGAACTTTAAAATATCAACTATTTTGTAATCATCACATGTAATCAACGAGGCTAACATATCAAATCTATGACATTTTATATTGTAACATTGTTTTGGATATAACTTTAATCTATTTTCTTTGTAAAATAAATATAAAAAGGGGATCCTAAGCAGCGCATTAAAGGCTGAGCCAGATCATTAAAAAATAAACAGGGTCATAAACAAAGAGGTTGATATCAATAAAGAAGCCAGAGAATTGGGTGTCCAATCACAAGAAAAGGGGTTTTGGGTCCAGAGTTGGCCATTGGAAGCAGAAGGAGGACTGAAGAGGGACGGGACTTTATGACAAGTTGGGATTTTACACACTACTGTGGCTATCAAAAATAACAGTGAAATAAACTGGGGGGGCTTGAGTGGAAGCCAATCTGCTGTCTGTGTGTTTTTCCAAGTAATTTATCACTGAGTTTACTAAATTCTGTCAGCGCATTTCCTCAAATAACATGGATGCAATTTTCTGGAAGTCAATTTCGCTTCCACGCAAGAAACGCTTTCCAAGAAATTAGGAAAAACAAGGTTATTTGATTGTTTAGTCACAGCAGTGAGGTATATTAGAGAGGCAATTCCTTTTGCACACACCACCATCACCTGGTTGCAAATCCAATCAGTAGAGGGATTTGTTGAGCTTTGACTTGAGACATGAAGTTCACTGATGCTTGTCAGAAGCACTACCATGAGAAAAATTAAAACCTTTTGTGATAGTGATTTGCAAAGGAAGTCCTCAGAGAGTTTGGATAAAAGTTGGGAGTTCACTTTAAAAAAAGGCCTGAAAGCGTTTAGAAGGGTTGGCAACCATTCACAGTCAGCTCAGACCACAGCAGCAACAGAGAGAAGCAGCTGAAAAATACAGCCAGAAACCACGGCGGGAGGAGTGTGGAAGAGCAATAAGAAAAGGGGTGAACGAGGGCAAGAATAACAGAAACTTTGTAGGAACAGAAGTAAAAAAAAAAAGAAAAAAGAAAGGGGGGAGACCAAAGCAATAATTATGAATTCATGTTGGAGGGAAATGAGAATCCAGAGCCAAGAGTCTGGTCTNGGGCAGAGGGAGGATAAGGGGGATATTGAGAGGGGGGGATAAAAGCAAAGTAGGAGGGAAAAACCTTGAGGAGGAAATAAAAGCCGGGATTGAAGGGAGGGAGAAGAATGGAGGGATAAAAGCGCTGGTTACCTGAGCGGAGCTGTTTGATGCGTCCGTTGTTATTGGATGTGTTAACCGGCAGGAAATCCTTGAACCAGGTAATTTCTGGGTCAGGGTTGCCGCTAGCAGCACAGAGCATGGTGGCAGTCCGAGAACGCTCCACCACTTTCAGCTGGGGACCCATGTCAATGGTGGGAAACCCAGAGGGCAGCTGGTCCTCTGGAAATATCAAATATACGAGTCAAATCTTCAACCTGGTACGACAGAACAGTGGTTCTCACATGCTCCCACAATCACAATCACCTTCTACACAACCAGTTATGTTTACAATCTAGTCATTTTTACATTTGATTCAAAATGGGAAGATTTTTGACCCTATTCAGTATAAAACGAAGATACTGCAATAATTTTCATACAAGACTTTACATCTGCTTTCACTGGATTTGGTCAAGTATGTGTAAACACTACTTATTTTTATGTAAATATTCATGATCTGTGAATCACAGCATGTTTTTCAGAGAAGCATGTAAGTGATAACTATGCTAAACTTGGTTTTTGATAGTGATAAATATTCTAAACATCAGCTCTACATGAATTTTTAATCCTATTTGTGGGGTTCTTTGCCTTAAACGCAAATACATGTACACACACCCTGCGTATCATTCTCTGTACAAGCAGATAGGACGTCCACATGTCTGAGGATTAGTAAGAACTCCCTTCTACATAGGATAAACTGGGATAATATCTTGATGGAAATATTACAAAGCTTCATCCTTCTGGGAATTTCCCACAAAGCGTTATAAATGGAAATGCCCTACTGGCTTTCATATAAACTGTAGCAGTTTGTCATCGCTAAAGCCAGTCCTTAATGGTTCTTGTAACTACCATTTTTTCCTGTCATCAGTGCTTTATTGGTTTGACAAAAATGGGTTTGGCCAGCTTTTTTTACAGTGCACTAATATTTGGGCCTTCAGTAGCAGGTTAGTCTGTATTCTGCTGTATCAGCCCCTTACCTTCTGCAATTAGTATAGACTTACCATTGGGACTGATAGGGAAGAGACTTTCCACAGGCTCAACATGCAGTTCATGATAAAACAAAGTAACATTTATGCTAACTGAAACTAAACTGAAACATTTTTCCCCTTTAAAATTAATACTTGGTTAGCACAGTCATAAAAGTCTTGTGAAAAGTAATATATGTTTACACGAGTTAACCCTCTAAACCACAAAATCTGGTAGCTGATTTGAAAGCCTGTCATTCTTTAAAAAAAATAAAAAAGAAGCCCAAACTACACTATCACAATTTAGTTTTTAACTAATCATGCATGAATTCTTGTTCAGGTGGGAAATTATTAAAATTCAAGTTGGAAATCATGATATTCCATCCAAATCACTTTGTTCTACATGTCTCATTTAATATTTCGGTAAAAATTAATCACTTGCTCTGACTACATTCTGTAAAAAACATAAAATTCTGTGCACCTCAGCACAACCAAGAAAAGTAAATCAGCTGGTACCAACAGTCACATGACAACAATCCAGGGGCTTTTAGGTTGAGCTGCAGGATGTGTATACACGCAACAGATAAGAGAAAAGTAGAAACTAATTAAAAATGGAAGTTCTAAAATATCTGTAGTGTGTGACGCCACCATTTTTTCCCCCAGTATTGGCAACATCTGTGGGAATATATGACATAGCTTTGTGTCATATTACACAAAAGGCATTTTTGACTTTTTTCTACTTGTAGCCATGGTTGTGCTGTTTCTATGGAGGTGCTGGCTTTATTGCGCAGCAAAAAATGAGCCACAGTGAGATAAAATGTGACAGGAGCCAAAAACACCCACACATGCTTTGCGTTCAGAGGATTAGTACTTTCTCTGTTGCCTTGATGAAACTCTTCTCTAATTGTTGAAGCTCTTTATGGTCTGTTATCATTTTTAGATTTTTAATTTGAGTTTTTTAAGCTGCTGCCAGCCTTCTTGCAGAGCCAGGCTTGTTGTTTTCCCCTGTTTGTTGTCATGCTAAGCTAGGCTAACCACCTGCTGACCACTTGTGAGTGGTGTCAACCCTCCCGTCGAACTCTCAGCATGAACGCAAACAATTATATTTCCCCAAGTCTCAAACTGTTACCTCCAATTACCCCGTACATCTTTGTGTGGTGCATGCGAGTGCATTGCGAAAGCCCTCACACAGCGGGCAGTCTGCGTTCGATATAACACATAACATGATGCTGGAAAGCTGAGGGGGCACAGCTTAAACGCTGAACTCACACCAAGCAGGTTCAGTTACCAGTCTAGTGTCAAAGGGTTTTAAGGGAAACTGGCTGGCCAAGTGCAAGAGTCAAATTTAGATTCAATTTATGTCAAAATATGTTTCGCATCAGCCTCAAGACCAGAGGCAAGACTTTTAAAGAATCCAATAGCGGGGCCAAAAAGAATAAGTAACATTTCATTCTACCTGACAAACTCACTAAAGCTTTAGGCCACTGCTCTTTGAATAAGAATCAACTGAAAATCAAATCCCCTATTCTGCTGGGATTCAGTAGCAGTTGAACGCTACTTTTTTTGTACCTCTGTCTGTTGCAAGAACCTTCTCTGGAAGTTCACCCATTGCATAAAAAAAACCACAAAAAAAACAAAACGGTGAATCCAATAAAGACATATCCACTGGGACTTGCGCCCTTTTGGGGATGGCAAATCAGATGTGAATTCATAGATGATCTGAGGCAATTTAATCAAACAGAGAGTCATTCCACTGTGATAGAGGAAAATCAAAGGCAGCGATCAAACTTTATTCAACTGAAGTGAGAGACTTAAGAGAAGGGAGGGGACAATGCTTCGAGGACATAGGGGATCAAAGATGACTGAACTGAAAAGACACTGTATCCAACCTTCATCAAATAGGTGCAGAGCAAATCATTTAAAAAAAAAAACAAATTCTAAACTTTGTTCAAGGCTGCACTTTGAAACTGCGAGGTAAAATGTCAGATTCATGAGTCATCCATAATAAAGTGGATAAAGACAGACATGGTGAAAAAAAAGTCAGATGAGCAAGGAGCGTGTGTTCCTACGTGTTCCTGCACTGTATTTGATCTAGAAGGCAGTCTATTTTAATCCCCCACCCCCCTCTTTTTTTTTTTTTTTTTTACCCACAATCCCTTGTGACTTTATCCCTCTCCACCAAACAGAGCCTCATTAACGGGAAATCCTAGCACTGAATCTCGCCAAGGAGATGCTAATTCTGGTACTAGCCCATCGAACCATAGCCGATGGGTCGTGAGCTGCCGGTTTTCGCGAGTGCGTGTGTGGCCTTTTAACAGCTCCGGTTTCAATCAATCACAATGCCCGACAAATGGAAACATGGACATAATAAACCAAGAGAACAAGATGAGAAGGTGTTTGTGTGCATGAGTGTGTCTGTGTGCGTGGGTGGTGAAAGAGGGCAAAAGTGCAACAAAAAAAAAAAACTGAAAGAGTAAAGGAGAAAAGAGGAGACTAGATTACAATAGAGCGGGACAAAGAAGAGTGACAGAGAGGAAAACAGAGAGAGCAAGTGAGAGAGCAAGAGAGGGATAGACGGGGAGAGAGAGAGAGCACAAGGGACCTATACAGCATAACAATCCTGATTCTCTCCGCTTTCATTATGCAAACGCTTACTTCAAAGCCAGCCCCTTGTAGGCAGGAATAATGCATTCTATTTCATCTACCTGGGGTGGGACACTGCACTGAACATTGAGGATGCACAGTTCCAGTGCTACTCCCCAAGATCATGCATCTCTCTCTCCTACCCTTTTCTGCAACCGCTCACATGTGCACAGAAAAAAAACAGTTGCAGTGGTGGAACTGCTGGTGGAAACGTATGAACACACGTGCACAAAACAACACAAAGACGCAGACCAAAACAAAACATTTTTTTAATTTAAAGTTGACAAGGTATGAAGCAATGTAAGTGAAAGTGAGGGCAGATTCAATGAACTGAAGCACATACACACGCGCACATAACCGGCTTTCCACCATCCATCATGGGGACAGGTGTAACCAACACCCCAGTGTGTTTGGGACGGAGCGGCATGTGCGTGTACATTCGCGCGCGTGTGTGTGCTTGAGGGAGCAGTAACAGCTAAGAACCCCCTGAGGTCAGGGCAGATGCGTAACCCTACACTCCCTTGTTGATGGAGCTTCGCACACATCACACTGTTTCATTTGGATGTGCTCCCGCTTCACTGTTTCCACTGTGAGCCATCCAGATAATTTCACAGCTCACAGAAAAGCCCAGTCTCGCAATCATGGGAACTGCTGTGCGAACACTGTCTTCCTTATGCAAGACCCGAAATGAAATACACACACACACACACACACACACACACACACACACACACACACACACACACACACTGCGTTCTGGGTTTGTCATCAGTAAATCTGGGGGACTGTCTGGTCTTCATGGGAACTAAAGAATGAGCTGGCTGCTGTTTCAGAAGCCCAAGTGTAACGTGTGCACCTGCAAACAAACCTGTTTCTGTCAGTCATGACTGACTCAGAGGATAAACTGTAGGGAATGATTCTTATATCATTAATGCAAGCATAACATACTTCAATGCAATCCAAAACAACACAACTGTGCTGCTGAAATTGTTTGTGTTTCTTACATGTTAACTTTTTTTGCTGAGACTATTTTAGAGAGAAACTAATTTAACTCTGGTCTATTTTTTGAGACCACAGTTTGTACTTAATAACAACCACACATTGAGTAGTGGTAAAGAGTATATGTGATATGATGATAAATAATAATATGTACGATCCTATGTATAGTACAAAGGATATAATTAAAGCATAGTTACATTTAATACAACTTCAGGCCTTCAATAAACTCTAGATTTATTAGAATTTATATCATTCTTAGGGTAAAGTCATTGTCCACCACAGTTTATGGACCACTTTGACCTTGCTGCACTCACACTCAGTTTCACCTTAAAATAAAGGTAATTTAGGTAGTTGGGCTAAAGCTCTGGCTCGTTTGCAACCTGTTTGATCAGCAGACTGCTCACGCCTATGGCTCTGCTTTCATTGGTGTGTGTGTAAATCAGTGAATGAGTGACTTTTACATTGTAAAACTCGCTGTCAGATAAGGTATACAGGCGCTTTGTTGTCCTTTAACACAAATTAAAGAATATGAATTAGTCAGAACACTAAAACTTTATTTACAACTTAATTTTTTGGACTCAAGTGCTTATCAAACATCCCTTCAGACACACAAAACGTTTTTCTTGAGCCATGAATTATACAGTATCAGACTGTACAATGGATACTAAAGCATATAATTGCTCTCAGCTTCATTATTATTTCAGCCATTGCCAATCACAGCCATTTACTGGGAGCCAAGATTTCAATTAGCCTGGTTCTAATCCTCAGTAATTAAGCCGGCTGACCTTAACACCGGATCCCTCCTGTCAGACAGTCAGTCAGTCAGTCAGTCACTGGAGCTTTGGTGCCTTTAGAGAGCCAGGGAGGGACAAGGACACATGACTGACAAGACTGTGTGTGTGTGTGTGAGTGTGTGTGTGTGTGTGTGTGTGCCTGTGTAAGCGTGTGTGCATTTATTTGCACACGTGTGTACTTTGTAGCTGACATTTGGACTGACAGTCTATCGGGGACTATTAGCTGCTCCCAGGTGGCCCCTTATTCATCCACAACACAATGACTCCTCAGAGGAATAGAAAGAGGCTAATCACTACATAAAGGCTGACTGTCTTAGATTGAGGATATGTCTGTTTGTGTGTGTGTGTTGCCTGTGTGCATGTGCTTGAGTGGTAATGTTCTCGATGAAAAAAAATGAAAAATTGGAGACGAGTGGATCGGAGCTTCCATCAAGCGGAGAAGGAAGATCAAAAATAGATGCAAAGAAACATAAGCAAGAGCACAAAGCAGATGTACATGTGGAAGTGAGCACGCCTGCATGCACTCACACGGACAGACAAGTGCGCACGCACACACGCGTACAAAAGACGACCATGTGAGACAGGAAAAATTCTGGATGGATGGAGCGGAACAGCACAGAAGATGCAAAGAGTGGTCTGACGTGAATAATTTAGAGGTTGCTGTGTAGTGGACCTAGGAGCATGTGGAGAGACAGAGGGAGTGGGAGATAAGGAAAAGGCGGAATGTGCATAAAAAGGGCGGAAAAGGGGAAGAGCACAATAAAGAGTAAGAGGGAATGGACTTGGGAAAACAACAAACACAGACAGACGAGACAGAAAGACAAGAGACTGGCGGACGAACTGCAAACTCTGTTATTACCCCTCAGAGAGATGAGAGGGAAGACGAGAGAGAAAGAGATGAGATGGTGGAACAATAGGCTGCACGTCCTTTCCCCACGAGCACGTACTGTAAAGGCAGGCGATGTGATTATCCACACTTGAGCAACTTCACTCACTAAGACACTCTTGAGCTTCAAACTACCGGTACATAATGTTCTCCTAATGGACTCCACTAACACTAACATCACTATCTGCATTAATGGACTCTTGCTAACACTAAACCGTCTACCGCAGTCGATCCGTGCTTACACTTGCATATCCATATTTGAAGAAACATCCTCCGACCTTCCAGTTTCTTCGACATAAATAGTTTTTAAGGTACAAGAAAAGTGACAGAAAAATATAACATTAACTGTGCAAATCTTGATTATTACCGGATTATACTTTTAAGGTACTTCAAGGAATTGCTACAGTTACAAAACCAAATGCTTACAGTGTATAAAAACAAGCTACAAATGTCACCATCAGAGTTTCTTTCTTTTTTTTTTTTTTTACTGCAGCTATATTCTTACATACAATATGAATATGATGCATGTATAACTAGTATATAAACAGTTAATGAACTGCTATTAACATCTTTATAACATAGCCAGAATCATATTTTGGGATAAATGATCAGGCATATTGAAGAATCCTCACTGTGTTTGTAGCAGAGTGAAAGAACATGTTAACTTTTAAAAATCGCCAGAAACACACCCTTTACATAGAAAGTAATTCACCTGACTTTCCATCTGTGACTTAGTGTTTTGTTGGAAAAATCATCCAAATCGAATCTTAAAACTGTGACAACTTTTTAAAAAATCCCTTATAAATGTTTCATTCAAAAATTCTTCAAAAATAAACCCTCTGCACAAACCAGATTCTTCTCAGCACAACTGGGAAAACATCAATGACTCGACAGCAAGCAACAGTGACATGACAAAAATTCAGGGACTTTCAGCTGAACTGTTGGTTGTGTTTCCATAGTAAGCAGATAGGAGACAACTATAGCAACAAATTAAATATGTAAATATTCATAGTATAAAAAGCCATCATTTTTTTCAGTATTGTATGAATTATGGTCATTTCGAAAAACACAAATGTTGTAAATGTAGATTTATAAATTCAACTTACATTTTTTTCTTTTTCTATGATTTATGGCACTATAATTGCATCATACTGCTCAAAGGACATCATTAAATTTCTCTCTACTTTGAGTCATGATTGCGCTGTTTCCATAGAGGGGCAAGACTGTATTAAAGAGAAAAATAAACTCACAGTGAGTGAAAATAAAACAGGAGCAAAAAAAAAAAAAAAAAAGAAGATCTTAAAAGGTTAAAACTGTTAAAACATTAATATGTTCACAATTCATTAAAACATGATAATGCTGAAAGAATACTCTTGATACCAGCATAATAGAATGTAAATATGATTTCATGTATATATTGCCAGTGATTTGCTATTTGCTTATAGCAGTTATTGATGACAGTTAATTATGAGTTAATCATGAAGCAATAGAACACTTGAAAATGGCTTTACAAGTGCAAATTTATTATTTATTGTGTATTATAGTGTTTTATGAACAAATTCATTGCCAGTTTAGATAATAAATGTGAAATAAGATGTGTGACAGCTGCATGGAGGCACAGATTGTGTGTGCGTTCACACTGACCTCTTAACACACTGAGTCTGGTGGAGGCAGTAATCTCTCCTGCTGAGTTGGAGGCGTGACATTCATAAATTGCCTCATCTCTGGGGGTTCTCAGTGGCTGAATCCTCAGGACCGAGCCGGATCCATCGTCAAACTCTATAACCTGTTGTTGGGGAAATTTGTTAAAGCAGCTAAAATGAATATTTCTTTAATGGATCAAATGATGCGTGAGCTGAAAAAAGTTGCTTTTTTTTTTTTTTTTACTGGAAAGCACAAGTTTCACAGGTATCTTTGGCATGCAGTCACTGAAAATATAACTTGCACTTTTGAATTAAGCTTTAAAATATTGTAATGTCACAGCAAATTTGCTCAAATGTAGCTGAAACATTGGACTCAGACGGGTGTTGCTGTTTGGTTTTAATTTTATCTTCAACAAAGTTTGCAGCTCAGAGATAAACAGTAATTTGCAGAGGGAAAAAAGTTTTTAAGGTCTTTTCTCAGTTTTTAATTTAGTGAGGAAAACCGAATCCAAAGTGTAACATCAGTCACTACACACATTAAAATCAGAAGCACTTCACACACGCTCCACTGAAGTAACTTCGACTGCGTTGAAAGAATGTAGTAGAATATTTCTCTTGTCCTGTTCAGATTTGTAATAACTTTGGATTTTTCAGAGCTACTGGATTTTGCAATACAACTGCTCTTGCATAAGCTTAATACAAGCATGTAATTGATCTGGATTTTGAATTCTGGGAAGGGCTTCCACTGACTGAAATCCAATAAAAAATAAATCCTACAACAAGTCCTGACCAACAGGACAGCAAAGAAAAAATATACAGCAGGTACCCTGAGCTTATATAGTCTGGATTAAAAAAATAAAATATCTCCTGGAGTGATTTAATCACAAACAGGAGGACACCAAGATGAACTTAAACCTGGGAGGAAACCAGACTTATTAAAGTGAAAAAGCACCCTGAGCTCAGGGTGACGCTGGCTGAGCAGGAACGAGGCTGATTCAACATCTCCATCTCAGAGTGACTTGTGAGGTGTGGAAATAAATCAAAGGTTTGAGCCTCTGGGAAACTAATAAGGCTGATCATATAAAAAATCTCATATACTGTAGCCCAAGGCTTCATCTGACATATGAAAGAGTTGGAACAGAGAGCATTTCACACACCTGCACAACCTTTGGAGTACAAATACAGAAAGGATGGAAACTGATCAAATCTTTACAGGTAAAATTTTGACTCTATATGCAAACTGTTCATGTGGCTATATATAATGATAAATACAAGAAAACAAAGCACAGCACTCACTATCGACTTAAATGTCAACTTTCATCGCAAAAAATATCAGTGGGCAGAAACACTGGTGATGGTTCTGTTGTATTTAGACTTTATACTTTGGAAGTGGCTACTACAACCTAAATGTAAAACAGCTTATTTTTTTTCATTTTTTATTCTTTACAAATTTGCCATTTGTTCACTTGATTAATTGATTGATTGGTGTGTAAAATGTCAGAAAATGAAGGCCAGCGTCTTTAAATATTTGTCGCATCAATGGTCTAAAATCCAAAGAATAACAAACCCTCACAACTGATGAGCCAGGACTATATAGTGTTTGACATTTGAGCTATAAAAGGTTTTAGGAGGACTAGTCTGACATTTTGAAAATAAGCTTTCCCACTTTCTAGCTGGGGGTAATATACAGGGTATCCATCTCCTCTATATATCCATTAAATATGAACCATATAGCCAGGATACAGTTCACTTGTCATAAAATCTACTGAACACAGCTAACCTGGCTCTGTCCACAAACAAAGTATGCGCCTACAAGCATCTCTAAGGCTTGCAGATTAACATTTTACATGTTGTTTATTTAATCAGAACATCTGTCTTGTGGCTCCATCTGCATTTTCCATAATTCAAATGAATCCTTTTTGCAGCTGATTATCAGAACAGTTGCAGACTAATTTTCTGTCAATAAAGTAATAATTAATCAGTGTTTACAGCCATGTTTAATATTATTAGTTTAACCAGTCTAGATGTGTGCTGTGAGAAGAGTGTAAGAAGAACATACCAGCAGGAAAACACAAACAAGAACTGACAACAACAGCAGCAGTCCTCCTGCTTCAGTTCACTGTGTGACCATCAGCACAGCTTCCAGTGAACCTCTGCTGTGGCGCTATTGTGGGATGTGAACCCATTCCCATTGTACTTACTAGTATCACAGCATCGTACCTCAAATCTCTGGTTGCTGACTTTTTTGCCTTTCTTGTTCCAGACAATCTTGGGCTGCGGTTCCCCGGAGGCCTGGCACACAAAGGAAGCTACTCCTCCCTGGACTCCTGTCTGGTCCTCTGGGGTTCGTGTGAATCTGGGGGGCGCTGTGAGGAAAGATCAAAAGTTAGTCTGTGTGCATGCACATGCCAACAAGTCCAGGAGGAAGTTGTGATGGAGCGGTATCCAACAGTCTTCACATGACAACACATTTGCACACATGCAGTCATTCACTAATGGAATATTATGCTTTTCTAAACACATGTAAACACTGGAACGGCACTCAATATGTTACAATAATCTTCTACTCACACATCTGTAACAGTGATGCTTGAGATCTTTGTTGTGTGTGAACAGGGGATGCAGGTTGTGTGTGTCATGCAGTTAAAGTGAAAAAGTGAAGAACAATGACACAGTCTGTAAAAAGGTTTCAACAATGCAATTGTTTTGGGAGTGTGTCTCTGTGTTACAGTGTGAACCACTTCTTGGAGTACTTATTCACCTCCAACACATCTTTCAGCTTAGATGTGCATGTGGGTGGCTTTGTGTCTGTCTGTGCGTGCGTCTTTTTTCTATACACGTGTGTGCACGTACCACCATGTTTTCCCTCTGTCCCTGTACCACCAAAGAAGCTTAATATTTCTGTGCCATAAAGGATTTATGAAGACTTACTCCTGACATGACCACTAAAGCCCCTCGTTCCGGGGACGCCAACAATATCATAACCACAGCCTCCGCTGGATTGTGACATCACGACATCAAAAAGATTCGGCACGTCAGTCACGGCACGTCACCACCAGCTCGCCTAATGGCATTCCAGCCAAACCAGAAAATCCCTACTTAAGGGCTTACCGCCAACCGCCCTGACAAAGGGAGAGAAATTGCTTTTTGCTGTTTAAAAGGAGGGAGGGAGAAAAGGGAGAAAAAGCCTTTCAGAGAAGGGGAGAAAAAAAAAAAAAAAAACGAGAGAAAGCGTGTGACGAAAGAGTGGGGAGAAATGAACAGAGGACCGAATGAGATAAAAGGAACGAGTGAGAGAGACAGATGGAGAGAGAGAGAGGAAGATGAGAGGGAGGAAGAGACAGCGAGAGGGAAGGGGGGAGACACAGAGGGTGAGATGGAGAGTGAGTGAGCCAGATGTACTGGCAAACACAGAGAGCCCCAAGCTGCCCAATCACCTCTACACCTCGCTGGCTCACCGCCAAATTTACCTCAATGACTGAATAAAACAGTGTGTGTGCGCGTGTCAGTTTACTTTTTCATCCACGCCAATTTACATTCATCTACAGACACTGTGCACCTGTATGGGAGAGTGTGTTTGTGCGAGCTCATCCGGTGCCAAACGATTAGCCGATTAAATAATTTGCCAACCGACTGACCATCATTCTGCTAATGCATTCACCAGGGTGCTTCTAAAATGTGAGAATCTGCAGATCAGCTTTGTTTTTTTTTTTGTTTTTTTATACAGCTTTTATGTTAAATGTGTAATTTTCAAGCAATAAAAAACGGCTCTTTGGGAAGCTCTGGAAAATTGTGATGGTAATTTTTCATTTTTTGACAGTTTTTGGAGACAAAACAGCCTACAGATGAATATATACAAAAAAAAAAAAAGGTTTCTTTTGTGGTCGTGATATGTACAGTATATCGCAGCACGCAGATCATTTTCTACATGCATGCCATTGTGACGTATGTGTGTGCGTGATGCATGGATGAGCGAGCAAATGTGTGAGCCCATCTGAGAGGGAGGCTGAGGGAAAAAGAGAAAGAATGAGGAGCGGGAGAATCTCTCTCTTAATCCTCTTGCTAATCTCTCCCCCACAAAACAAATGAAAAGTGTAAAGCCAGCAGAGCCATACTAAAAGGCATGGTAGATCTTTCAATTGCTTTTTTTTTTTCTTTCTTTTTTTTATGTTTTATCTCTCCCCCCTTCTCTTTATCACTCTCGCCCTGATCACTCTTCATACATATCCTGTTTAATTGTCTTAGATTCTCTGTGTCTTATATTTTGCCTCTTTATCTCTCTACCCCATTCCTAATTCTTTGCCACTGCATCACTTCTTTCTGCCGCTTCACAGCTGCTCTCCTTGCTCCCTCTTTCATCCTCCTCCTTGTTACTCTTTCCCCATCTCCTCCCTCCATCTCTGGGGTGTTATATAAGTCTTCCTGTCACATTGACTGACTTTATGAAGGGGGGGTGAAAGTGGGGGATGCAACCGTATGCTCCACACTTCTCCCAACTCTCTCTCGCAATTCCTCTCCTCAATAATTTCTCTCCTCCCCTCTCTTTTGAGCTCTCCTCCTTATTCGCTTTTTCCTTGATTTCGCCTTTCTCTATTCTACTCATTTCACCACTTTTTTTCCCTCTGAATTCATCCCCTTCTTCTATACTTGCCGACCTTCTTTACGCTGTCCTAAATGTTCAGCTTTTCCTGTAAGTGGTTCAGTAGATCTCGTCTTTTTGGCTCTTGGAGACATTTCAGCTCTCATCCAAGATGATTAAATGCTGATGATTAAGCACTGACATTTGGGTCAAAGCAGAGGGGGCCAAAGCTTAAAAGGGCACCTAAATATTTGTAGATATTTCGGGGAAGGCAAGACACGCATGCAGGTTTATTATTTTACAGACATAAAATGTAAAAAAACTTGTTGGCAGCAGTCACAGAGGTGTTGATGCGTGCCGCCAGGTGTTCCACAACAGCCTCCTCCTTTTCCCTCCACATGATACACGAAGGGTAAACTATCGAGTGGTCCACATAGAGAGATTTAGATGGAATTAGACAGTAACAATCCTTCCTCTTTTGGTACGAGTGTGTGTGTGGGGTGGAAGGAGGGTGGCCGACATACAGGTCACCATATAGTGGGATCTGATCTACACAACAGATGGCAGGGATTACGCAGTCAGCTCCCCTCTCTGCACCGCTTTCGAGTCACTTCTGAAGATGTGTGATAAACTTCCAGGGTGAAAAGACCATCTTGATGCCTTTTTCTGAATTTCAAAATCAAACACAGAACAACTGTGTCCTAATTTTTCTTTTAAAAAATTCTAACATCCATTTTTATTACGGGTAAAACCTGCTGACGGATCCCTGCTATACTTCTCTGATTATTGACTGTTTTCGTCAGTTTTAATTTTGTAAACCATGACAAATGTAGCACAGTTTTGGGACAAATTGTAATTGGGTGATGGAGAATCACTGGAGTAGCACTTTGAAAAGACAAATAGTGAGACTCAGGAAGCTAATAGCACTGTGGAGGAGACTACAGGGACATATTGTAGCTGGCAGATGCTGTCTTAACCTAGAGGGACACAGCGAGAGAGATCGAGTTTGTAAGAACAGATGCTGGAACAAACCTTCAGGGAGCATGATTTACAGATATGGTGTATCAAGATTAGGAAAGAGTGTAACTCTGAGAATGGCAACTTCATTTTCGGTGGGAAAAGCAGATGGAAATAATTGGGAAAGATGTACGTCTCAGGTTTGAAGAAAGATAGTTATATAGTTTTTTATTAAACAGAAATTTTACAAAATAATGTATGTTTTATCTTAGATGTCCTCCATTTGATAACAACTAAGATTCAGAAAACCTGAGAAAATGTTACTTCAATGAATCTAATTTGAATAAGAAATACTCTGCTTTGACTATATTAATGTCCATGAAACAAAATACCATTGAGATCAGATATTTGTGTAATATATTTTGAAGGAGCACTTTGTTAAGTGATCCAAACTGATTTCTGGACACCTTTTTAAAAAATTGCAAAACGTTGCCCACTGTGCACCCCCTGGCTTCCTACTGTGCGCCCTCAATCAGGGATGCTGGATTATCAGAGATGCTGGATTAACAACAGAGTATAAAATCTAAGATAAAAACACAGAATGAGTAAGCTGAGTTTTCATTATTAAAAGAGAATAGTTTCAGCTAAATGGAGCAGACGGTAATGCTAGCTGCCGTGTGCTGAATGCTTGTTTTTTGTTCTGCTCACGGCTTAAAAACGCAGATCATTTCTCAGAGGAAGAAGATGGTTATTGACCTCTCTGATCAATTCAGTATCCTCTACGGACATGTTCACAGATAATCCCGGGTGTTTCTCGGTCTATATGAGGACACGTGCTCACGTGAATGTAAAATGTTGGTTAGCATCCCTGTCCATATGTTGGAAGTTTTGATCATATCTAAAAGAAGCTAATCTGGATCATGCCAAGCATCTGTACTCACATTTGTGTGTGAGTATGTGCGTCTCTATAGTTAGGCATGTGAGGAGTATTTTACAGTCCTCGCTGAAGAGAGATCCAGCTGCAAAGCATTGTGTGTGGCTGTGGGTGGTTAGATGATGACTCCCTAAATGAAAACTGAATCAGGCTTGTCAAACAAGTTGAGGAACAAGGCCAATATAAGGGACCGAGCCAGGGCCATGATAGTCAGCCTTGAGAGTGGGTAGGCAGCTGGCCAGAATCATAACTTAAAACACATTAACATCAAACCGACACATTAGGAGCGAATTATCAGCTGCTTGCTTTCGTCCCAGTAATGAAATTGGATTGCTGGGGCCAATAAACACAGAGACAGCTATCATCCTTTTGCAGAACACATAAGCGTTAATTGGAAAACATTTGGCAAAATGGGCTATTTCAACATGGAAAATTAAATTATACGCAACTAAGTGCCGTAACATTTGATAAAAATTTGCATTAAAATAAGACGTTATTCGCGTTTCACAAAGTTTAAGTGTCTATCTAAACCATATAAGAAGAAGAATAGGATTATTTAACTCAAACACAGTTTTTATTTAAAACTGCACGCTTGTGATCTTCACTCTGGCGTAAAGGCCTGCGGTTTTCTGGACAATCTCCACCCTACGTCACCAAGCATTACTATGACATTATCATTTGTACGCTGCTCCAACAGCAAAAGATAATATGCACTTTTATGGCCGTTAGTAATGCATGTCCAATTAGCCTGACACTTAGCCACCATAGCCGCTGCAGGGTCTGGCTAGTGCCGAATTAATCAGGGTTAATTTGTTAGAAACACAAGGGGAGGAATTAATCAAACAGGATCTTCTTTTATACACAGGTCATTAGAAACACATGGGCTACCCACTGGG